AGCGGATGCGACCAGGGTGGCTATGTGCGATCTTTTTGCTCCCCTAAGTGCCCTAGTATATTCCCTGGTGCAGGTGGTTACCAAAGCCCTATGAAGCGGTATATAAGTCTAACTGCTATTGCTATTGCTTAGATGTGGCCCATGGGGGCTACTCTGGAAACAGCAAGGGACTGGCCAGCGGTGCCTATGCCAATATTTTACGACTTTGCTTGCCACAGTCGTTAAGTGAATTTGGCTCCCCCATTGACTTTGCTTGTCAGAAAGCAGTTCAAGTGACCCCAGGATACTGCGACCGTCATAAATATGAGTCAATTGCCAAGCGTCTGAATTAGGATCACATGATGCTGCAACGTATTTTTCAAGTATGAAAAAGGGTTATAACTCATTTCTTTCAGTGTCATCGTAACTCTGAAGAGTTACTAAAAGAACTGTTGTAAGTTGAGACTATCTGTACTAATAAGCTCTGAATCACAACCACTAGAACCCAAATATAGATATATTCGATACGAATATCAAAGCAAACTGAATTTCGCAGGTGAACAAGCTCAGAGAACAGCAAGGACCCCTCGTTTCAACCCTGAGCTACAAATATTCTCATTTATAGGTGCAACTGAATTTTCAACAACAGCCTGACATTGATTTCTAGCATCTTGGCAAACAGAAGGCTTGAGTCCTTCTCAGTTCATTTTATCTCTTTTAGTATTGAGGTTGTCAATTAGAAACAGTATTTTTAAAACTGTGATAAAGTGTTTGTTTCAAAAGCAAGGTATAAATAGTATAAATGAAACAGTAAGTAACACGAAGTGATGTAAGGAAAGGAAAAGGAAAAGGCTGGGAATGTGAGAGAGGTGAACAAACCAACCAACTCAACAAGATCTGAATACTGTGTCTCCCTGAAAATAAGACCCAGTCTTATTTTCTGTTGGGCTCAAAAATAAACACGAGGTCTTATTTTTGAGGGAGGTCTTATTCCCCCCCGTGGACTTTAAGAGTACATGGGAGGCCCACTTCTTCTCCTGCCTCACAAGCCTCGCAACAGCTTACCTCAGGACTCCCACAGCCAGGCCACCCACATCCCGCTAACTGCCTCGCCTCGCTTCCCTGAGGTAAACCAGTGCAGGGCGTGTGGGGTAGCTCCACCCCCTGCCTCGTGGGCACCACGGGTGGGCTCCGGCTGCTGCTACTGCCGATTCACTCAGGGATGCACTACACATGCATGTGCAATACTAAAAAAAAATGCTTCTGCGCATGCGCAGAAGCAAAAAACAAGATGGTGGCGCCTGGTTTCTGCGCATGTGCAGAAGCAAAAAATAAGATCGCGGCGCCTATGGCACCACCAAGAGAATCTGTTTGGGGGCGTGGCAGGCTGAATTACTACCTACCCAGCCGAACCGGTAGCAACCTACTTCTGGCGGCCACAGCACTACATACAACCAGATGGAATGGCAGCTGGCCGGCTGCGCAGTTACTTAAGTGGGTCTTATTTGGAGGGATAGGGCTTATATTAGACGCACATGCAAAAAAAAAACCCATGGTAGGGCTAATTATCAGGTTAGGTCTTATTTTCAAGGAAACACGTAATCGATACTTTATTGTCCCACCCAGCTGCCGCTCCCCCCCCCCTCTCTTACTGTCTTGCGCTCTCGCTTTGGCGGGACCGGTGGTTGAGGATTCATCATGACTTGGGAAGTTGGGAATTGTTGCACGTTCTGCGCAGGATAATATGCACCGGCTGAAAGAGAAAAGGAGAAATCTGAGTTATTGCAGTCCTATCATCCGGCTAGTCCTCAGCGTACGACCACAATTGAGCCCAACATTTATATTGCTGAGTGAGAAAAATGTTAAGTGCGTTTCGGCCTCATTTTAGGACTTTTCTTGACACGTCAGTTAAGCAAATGGCTGCAACGGTTAAGTTAGTAACCTGGTTATTCAGGGAATCTGGTTTCCCAGATTGTCTTTGCTTGTCAGGGGAGCACAGGACTAAGGGACATTGCGTCCGTCATAAATGTAAGTCAGTGGCTCCCTCCTTCCGGCTGGCCTCCTTCTCGTCCGCAGCTGCCTCCACGCCAAGATGCCGCTCGCGAAGGACCCTAATGCACCCCTCCCCCAAGGAGAAGCAGAAGCACAAGAAGAAGCACCTGGTGCGGAGCCCCAACTCCTACTTCATGGACCTCAAGTGCCCGGGTTGCTACAAAATCACCACGGTTTTCAGTCACGCCCAGACAGTCATGTTGTGCGTCGGCTGCTCGACTGCGCTGTGCCAGCCCACTGGTGGAAAGGCAACGTTGACAGAAGGATGTTCTTTCCGGCAGAAGCAACATTAAACAGTGGGCACTTGGCACTGGATGGGTTTGGGACTATGGGGACAGTTGCCGGCTGCCACCCCGGGTGTTTCTCTGGGGCAACGATGGAAGTATATTATACAACTGAGTTGTAGGGAGGGATGTGTAGTAACTTTTGAGTTGCTACCAACGGTGGCTGTGGGATGAGAGTGGACACACACACCCCAGTGGTGGGATCCAAATAATTTAACAACCGGTTCTCTGCCCTAATGATTTCTTCCAACAACCAGTTCACCAAACTGCTCAGAAAGTTTACAACCGGTTCTCCCGAAGTGGTGCGAATAAATCCCATCACTGAAATACCCCTT